AGTTTATAAAATTATTTTTGTTTACTTAATTTAGTTTATTTTTGAATTTATTTTGGAAATTTTTTTTCTTTAAATCTATTTGTGTACACATACAGTATAATATACTAAAATGATTTGATATTTGATCAAGATATAATAATTTAAATATAAGCTATCGTAAATATATAATATTTAGTTCAATAATTATTTGTAATATTATCACGCATATTTTATAGTAGTTTAGTAAATATTTTAAATCAGTATTAGCTTGTTATTATAAAACATATTGAATAAATAATAACGTAAATAAATATAATAAATTTATTAACAATATTAACTTAAACTAATTAAAAACTATTTTTCTGTTTTATTTAAATCCAATTTCAGGTTAAGTTACAAAATAAACTAAATTAAGTAAACAAAAATAATTTTATAAACTAAGTTAATAAATGCAAAATATTACCAACAAACATTAATTTACCAATCAAATAAATAGCAATAAAATATTGGCAAGCTAGTGTAGACCACTATTATAGCAAACAATTGACCTACCTTATTAAACAAGTGGTCAGTATTTATATAACAGTTTTATTTATTATAATACATTCACGCACTGGTAGACAACAAATACACATTACACAATATTTACTATGTCTACGGCCTTGGAGCCCTGTATGTTATGTAACAGTTACAAGTAATATAAAGCAAATGAAGCACTGGTAGGGAAAGTATGCACAGACATTGACAGACCACTGAACCACTTCTATATCTCTGTATACAAAGTGTTAACGCATTGCGAATGCATTGAATGCATGTGTCTGTGAGTGTGTCTGTCGTGCACTCACATTCAGATTCAATACATTATTTCGGTGGTAGGGATGCACCGGTAGTCTAAAAGGGATGGGAGTCTGGACCTACCCTGTTATGTCTAAATATTGCTAAAATATTATGCAAATAGCGAAATTAAACTACATATGCAGAATGTTATCAACTTTTACATTGTTTTAAAACAAATGCAGTGATTTTTATTAAGTTTTTAGTTAAATGTGAAGTTATATTTATAGAAAAATCATTATTTTTAAAGTTAAATTTATAATTATACTGTATTACAATCTAATAAATTACGTAAATTGCTTTCAAAAATGTTAATTAAACTAGTTAAATTATGTGCTTTAAAATAAATTTCCTCAAGTTCACTTATTCCAAATATTGTTTTTAAATAAAGGATTATGTGTATAAATCATAATAAAATATAAAAATACAGTTTCATAAATAAATTAATTGTTTAGGACTAGACACAAATTTAACAGTATACATTTAGTATTGTTATGTGACATTTATATAATTTGTAAATCATTTTAGATTTCAATGATTTTCATGAACAGTAACACCAGAAACGATATGATCTGTAAATAAAAAATATAATTAATTTTAAAAATTCATAAATTAGTTATTTTAACTAGGTGATCACCTCGTAACACCGAAAATGATTAATAATAAACAGTTTCCAACACCAAAAGCCAATCTTATTGCTACTCAAACGCTCCAGAAATTGCATTAACTATGCAAATAAAATCACCAAAATCAATTACCTAGATCAATAGATCGAAACAAAACAATCACCTACCTTAAGTTTATAACAAACATTTCTATACAGAATATTTTGATTATGGTAACACTGAATACCATGCTTAATCACATAGCTATAAAACAATTTATGCGTTTTGTTAGCCTCGTAATTGACCTCGCTCGCCGTGAATATAATGCATATAAACTCAATCAACCGGAAACTGATCGAAAATATCAGGATCGTCTCATTAGCCCAATTAAGGCGCTGAAAAATAGCCGCATATATACCCATAATAACCAAAAATCCCAAAAGTAGCCAGGCCGTTAACAAGTACTTGCACCAGTACCCGGTGTTGTATACACTTATCTCATGATAAATGCCATTCAGCTTACACATAGTACGTCCAATGAATACCGGGTCGAACTTGTGGTCCCTTTTCACGCGCGTAACTAACTGTCCATTAATTACGCGTATTTTGTACTTCAGGTACAAACAAATTACGTAAAAATGAACCAGTAGCCATAATGGGATCAGGTGGTTTAAATAACCTACGTAAGCCAGGTGCAATGAGTTGGGCACCCCGTACGTGAGTATATCACTTAGGGAGCACCGGTGGTTTAAGTAAGCCGCCAAACTAAATAGGCCTAAAAAAGGCATTAATTTCTGGTTCACAAACGTGTTGATCCGGAATAGGCTACCAGCCTGCTTAGCCCACTTATCTACCAGTCCGGGGTCATTCAGTCCCACCCGAGTAGGGTTAACCTTTCCGGCTAACACATTGAACAGGGTCATAAACGTGGGACTTATACCCCGGGCATAATTAAAATAGAAAATTAATTGATAGGTAATAGTGATGACACAGTAGTCGATGAAAGTGACGTCTATATGGGGCCGGGCGTGCATGAGATACGGGAAGTCACCTAATATGACATACAGGCGCTCACCAGACACCCGGGCAAATAAAGTTGTGGCGGTTTTGATGGCGTATACCCACAGGAATAGGTGTATAATCAGCGGGTGGTGGAGTAGATTACGGGTGCCATTGTTTGGTAGGTCACGCCATTGTAGGCCTATTCGGTATAATTGTGTGTCGGCTGTAGGTATGATTAGGTTGATGGGTATGTGACCAGGCTGGTTTTTTAATATTTTCATATTTATACAGGTTGAATAAGTTTAAATATTAATTCATAGAGTAATAAATATGATACGATGTCTAATATTTTTAAAAATAAATGTACAATACTAGTATGTAAAAGTATCATGAACTGTTTGCTATGCTAACAAAGTGTGATTTAAAACTAAATGTGATTTACTAGTTATAAATAGAAAATGATTAGCCTAATTATGCTAATTATGTTGCAATAAAGTAAAAACCATACAAACATTAAGTTTATGACAATTTTTAGAAATGGCAATTAATTTTAGATGCCAAATTGCATTAACTTAAATTGTACATCTATTAGTGCTTTTATGTTTATTATAATCATAATAATCATAATTAGCTATCTGTATTTATAATAACCGAGTCCAAATAAGTGGAAATTAGTGCATGTTTAGTACACTTTAAGTTAATGTAAACTTACCTGGTAAGATTCATTGACTTACTAATATTGTTGCACCGTATGTTTACCATTAAAAGCTGTGTTTATCGTGTCAAATTTAAATAAAATCAAGGTACACTTTTATATTAATGTAAAACTTTATTTTTATTTCTATACTTTAACAAATTAGTATCATAAATGATAAATGTCTATATAAATAGTTTTATTGCCAATTATTCAGCAACTAGACTAATTACATTATGTGTGTTATGTGCACTTGAATTTATTTTTAAAAAAATTATTTTTATGATTAGCAAGTTAAAATAAAATTAGAAATTTTTTATTTGTAACTATTTCCGATATAAAATTCAATTTCAGGCACCTGGGTATTGATTAAAATGAAATATTAATATACAGTTTAATAAAATGAATATTGTATAAAAAAATAAAACATTATGTTCATATTACAGTATTTATTTGAAATAGTACAGTATAAAACTATTTTAATTTATTTAAACATAAAATATAATTTATACTTTGATGCATTATGAAAAATAAAAATATTTATTAAAAAAAATATTGTTTAAACATAATTAATAAAATCTTTAAGATTTTTTGGGCATCAATACAATACCACTCATAAATTAGTTATTTCTAAAGTAATTGTTAATTTAAAATATAGGTTTATTATACAGTTTTATCTTTTATAAAATTTATTAAAGGCTTTACAAAAATTAAATCTATGTCTAATAAATTGCTGCTTTTGACATTGAATTCACTTTACAATTGTAAACCTAATAATTTTGCAACAATCAAGTAAATCCAGTGCATAATTAAGTTAATTAAGTGGAAAATTTAGTAATATATTAAAATTTATGTAATCTTTTAAATACTAATAGCTATCACAAGTTTTGTTAATAAACTACCGTATTATGTATTATCAAAATTTAATAATTTAATAATTTAATAAAAACTCTGTGGCACATTTCTTTACAATTAAATTGAAAACTTAATAAGAATTTTTAAAGTTATTAAAAATGATCTGTTACAAAACAGTTTATTATTTTTATAGGTATTCACTTAATTAATCACAATTAAATGATTTAATTGATTGATTTTATAGTGACAGTGAGTTTACTATGAACATGAATCTTTTGTTTTATAAGTGCTTTATTTGTTTAATAAATGTCAAGTGATTTCTAATTGATTTGTACCTAGGGTCAATGCTTTCGAAGCAGATATTTAGGTTTAATGTATTAGTATTTATTTTGCGTACAATGACTGCTAATCAAGGTGCATTTTCGGTGAAATATCATATAAACAATTATAATACCATCATAAATAGTTAGTAATTTATAAATAATAAATATTAAAATAAATATACAATAGTTTATTGCTATTTATGAATTTAAAAGATTCAATTTAATTAACCTCCTTAAATGTAACTTATTTAATTACATGTTATACACAACGTTTAATATTATTTAACGTTTAAAGTTTAACAATATTTAAATTAATTAGTTATAATTTTCAAAATAATAACAAAATTGTTTTTTTTAGAAAATTAATTATTTATTTCACGTTATTTAAGATAAATAAGTCAAATTTTAGTGCTCTGTCAAATATGTTATATGTTACATTTTGTAACTAAACTGTACTTGACCATAGCCTTAAATTAAATATTTATTTAACACGTTCCCAAATACGAATCGCTTGGTTTTTAGGCCTAACCTCACCGCCGGATACCTTAACTTTGAAATACTCGACCCAATATGGCTCATCCACACTGAAATCGCCAGTATATATATTCATTGACCATTTACCAGGCTCAATTTCAATGACTGGCTGGTATGGTTCAGTAACATATTGGGAAGCATCATGCTCCTCTGACACACCTATCCAATGTCGTTGGATAGACAATAACCTAGGTGCATCTTCCCCCTGAGCACCGCCATTAAATGGTAGGCTACTACCGCCCTCAGCCCGGAAAAATAGCCCCGCGTACTGACCAGTGACATCCGCCCACGTGTATCCAGGCCATAGTTCACCAGGCTCAGCTTGATCGGGATGTTGAGTGTATATAAACCCTATGGGAACTAGGTCGTTTGCCCTATTCTTTACTCTTGTTAGTAAATTCTCGATTAGCGCGTCTGAATGGTATTGTTTATAGATATTTTAGCATGTTAATAAATTATATTATGAGTATGATTAAAGTAGCTGGCATAAGTTGAGTTAGATAATTACCTTGTTGTTCATCGTGGGTCATATTTTTGCCTAATACAAGTAAATTTAAAATTTGAAATTCAACATGTTAATTTCTATGATTTATTTTTATACAATTTATTCCGATGGTATTAAGCAGGCACATTGAAAATCCTGTAAATTGTTCAAAATGTTTTTATAAATATTAAATTAACCAAGCTCATTGCTCGCATCAAAATCTATTTTATTTAATCCACATAGCTTAATCAAACTAATAATTAAAATAATACATTACCAGTTGAACTGCCAATTTGGTACATGGTTAATAGCGATCCTATTACCAATGAAAACATTTTCATGGCTTAAATCTAGCGAGGTAATTTATAATTTTATTTTAAACAATGATAACTATTCCCGATTTTATATTTACAAGTACAATTATTGATCAGTACACGATCCTGTTAATATTAAAAATATATTAATTGATGATTTGTTTAATGAACATGTATATAAAATTAACATCTGGTTTATTATGTAAAAGTTATGACTACACATTTATGGTTAATCCATGAATTCTATGATACTTGATCCTAATTCAAATGAAAATTTATTTTGAAAATTACCATGAACAAAACCGCAAATAACTTATTTTTAGAATTAAAATTATATCAAACATTATGTTTAATAATAAACTTTCAATTTAATGATAATTCAAAAATTCTATAAACAATTTCAAATTAACACTTATAATTATAATCATGCCTGTCCAGAATTTTTAAAAACCACTAAATAGTGATGTATAATATTACTAACCTTAATAATTATCTACAACACTAGTATACTATGTTTTATAAATGAATAACTTTTTATTTAAAAAATAATCTTCAATTTGGATTAAAATGTGAATATTTATTAAACAGCAAAATAAAATTCAAATGATTAATTTATTAAAATGATTATTAAACACTTAATAAAAATAATTTATAGTAAAAACATTGACACATGATTTAGTCAACAGTGATAACTATGAGTAATAAAAACTAATATAAATATGAGAAATTATTATCAATCTTAATGTCTAATTCATAAAATACTAGTGTTGTAAATATTGTATTAAGCTACAATAT